TTTTGTTGGCTTCCTATCTTACTGTAAAAGAATTTACCAATGTGAAAACTATATTGCAAAAAAGTACAATAAGATGGTTTCACATCTAAAAAAAAGTGGTCTCCTTTGTTACCTTATGTAAGATAAAAAAAAAGAGGTACTACTATATATGTATAATAGAATGCAGGAATAGAACAACTCAATGTAATTTCATAACAATGTAATGTATCAATGAAGCGCCTAATAAAAGTATATAAAAACAAAGTATTCTTTTTGTGAGCAGGGGTCAGTCTAAAGATTGACTCATTATTTGCATGTGACCTTAAGTTGAGTGTTAGCACTCTAATTACAGCCGTGGGATTTCAGGATAATTTTAATTACTAAATCTCGCAGACGAAATAACATGAATTAAATGCAACTGCAGATATGAGTTAATAGTACGTCTCGTGTACGATTTGTGAAACTTGCAACAGATGCATATCTGAACCAAATATAATTTCCAAAATCCATAAACTGCTTTAATTCAAATTCGTATTCAAATCTTTTTTTCAGTGTCTCTTTTTGAACTTCTTTCTGTTTGTATGACGGTTTTTCTTGTCTACGAAGAAATACATAGGCGACTATTTTGTCGACATTTTTGAAATTTGCTATCATTATGGTGGTTTGTGAGGAGATCGAGGCCATCTTGTAAACGTCTGTGCAAATGTACGTAGCGACCATCATACTACGAATGCTACTAAAACACAATTTTGGAGGGCAGATTAATAGCCAAAATAATTATTACTTGACACAAAATATTTAGCCAACACAAATTGTGAAACAAAATCTTCAGTTTGAATGTAGTCTTCAAAGTAGGTAGAACTTGTCTCCCAAATGTCGACAGAATAACCACAAAGTAAATAAGATGTATTGCATATATAGTAACATGCAATCTAAGAATACAAAGTATGGTTTAACTCCAAATTGGAACATTTTATCTTGGTGGTGTATGAGGGCTTCATCAGGCTTTGAAACTTTCCACCCGACAAATCTATGTTTTTAGGAATATTCTAATACTTTTTCAAGACATTGAACTTGAGACCTATCAACAATTCTTTGCTGGGAAAGAACGCCATGTCCTAATTTTCCAATGAAATATGCTACACATTCATCAGACCAGATTTTTTATGCAATCCGTAAAACGGTACGGCCGTGAACGAGGGTTGGACTTTTGTTTTTCCTTCTCTTACAATTTCCATTCTCTAATTGTGGAAGATTGAATACTCATTAGATGATAAGCTTAATCATTATTTTCAAAAGGTTAAATTGGCAGTGTGTATATACATCACCCGTTGTGAACTCTGTGTCCGAACACGGGTGTTATGGTCTCTTAGCAAAATAACAATAGATCAGCGTTCAGTCTTTGACGTCACAGAATCTATATAAAAGTAGTATGAAACTACTCAGTAATATTCGGTTATTTGCAAGATATTTTGCGAATACTCTGCTGCTACACTTTTTAATTCGATGTTATTCAACTAATAACGATATGGGAGTTACAGACAATAGTATCACTCGAAAAAAAAAATGTTTGCGGTATCTGACACGCCACGACCATTTTTTTTTTGAGTGACGCTTACGAGCGAGCTGGACGGTGAATTTAAAGGGGAGCTTTTGTGTGGCTTTTGACAACCTGTACATGAAATTTGAGATCTATGAATGAATTCTGTCGATAAAAACAACTTGTATGTGCTGCAAAATGCCCCAAATATCGGGTATAAAACGGGCTGTGAAGCAGACGACAAACGTCCGCTTTTCCAGGCGTCATTTCGCCTCTAGAGGGCCAGTCAAATGACGTCATCAGTGAACACTAATAATTGAACCCATTCATGCTAGTACGTCAATCCCATAGAAATGCTACTATGAA